GAATGTTTCCTCCTGAGACAGTGGTGTGCGATGGGCAGTTTCATGCCTCTCCTCATTTTGGGTCTGCTTTCTTGTCTATGTGCTTCTCATAATTTTTTCTTCGTGATTCAATAGAACTGGAACACCTCTATCACTGTTATTTGTCACATGGGCGAGCGTATATGAAACAATCTATAACTTAGTTTTATTTTTCACCCAGGGAGGCTGCCCCCAGTCTGCTGGGAACGACTCTCGTGCTGCCCCCTTTCTGGAAGCTTTTAGCAGCCTCTCATCTCTGGAGTATGAAACATCACCATCAGACGCCCTGCACCTCTAGTGACCCTTCACTCTGGAAAACAACATCTCTCAGTTTGGGAAGATTTTCTTCTTTTTTATTTCTTTGATAATTATCCCCCCCATTTTCTCTAAACCTTTCTAGAATTCCCGGTAGACAAATGCTATACCTCCTGACCCAATCCTTTTATGTTCTCCTTTTTTCTACCATTATCTGTCTTTCTCTTATTCTCTTTTTCTCTTCCACTTTTAGGGAAATTTTCTCTTTCATCTTTCAGAACTTCTACTGAATTTTTGCTATCATTTTCAATAGGCAAGAGCTCTTCTTTGTACTTTGATTTTATATATGGCAGTCTATATATCTATAATCATATTTTATCTATCTATCTATCTATCTATCTATCTATCTATCTATCTATCTATCTATCTATCTATCTATCTATCATCTATCATCACCGTCATGACCTATCTTTCTCCTGCTCTAGTTTCAGGTGAAATACCTGCATTTATCTCTCTTATGATATTGATAATATATATTTTTGAAGTTTTCTTCTACTCCTGATCTTATCTTTGTTTCTTCTGAGTTCCTTTATCCCCCTTCCTATTCTCTTGTCTGGTCTCCGTGGTGGAGGTGCCCCTAGAATGTTGGTAATCCTTAGTTGTCTATATTTAGGAATGTGAGCCAATAAAAGTCCTGACTGGCAGCCTTACGGGCACAGGTGGGTCCTGCTGGCTGGCAGGCCTCACCCCTGGGTGCATGGGCAGGAGCTGGCTTTGCTTGGAGGATGGGCATTCAGGATTGCCCTTTACCCCCTTGGTCCATTCAGTTTATCTAGAGATGAGTTCTCCTGCCTCCAGTCTGGGATGAGGGATGGGCATCAAGCCATATCCTGGCTGGTGCCATTATGAAAGCTCAGTTGGTGAAGAAGTTGAGGCTCTCCCTGTTCAGCATAGGGGATTTAATCGAATTTCCCTGTTTCATGCTCACGGCTTCCCCCCCACCTGTCCATGTGCACGGGTCCCTGAGCCCAGCGCTCTCCGGTTCAGTTAGAGGATGGCTTCCTGCTCACCTGTCCTCCTCCACCCTCAGTTCTGGAGAAGGTGCTTGCCTGAGTGTGCAGGCTAAGGGACCCGGAGGTCTGACCAATGCCCCTGTCTCAGCCGCATGCCTCACCCCACCTTCTGCCACGCCCATGACCCTGATTCCTCAGGCCTTGTTGGGGAGAGGGGCATGTCTCCCTGCCCAGGGCCGTCTCCCCTGCAGGAAGGGGCGTATACCTCCTCCGTTCTGGTCAGTCAGTCCCTACCATTACGTTTGCATTTCACTCTCAGAACCCTGATGGTGTTTGCCTTGTGCTGTTGTCATCTCTTCCCCCTTTCTTTTTCCCAGTGGGCTTCTGGCAAGTCCCACTTGAATCTCCCCTTTAATGTGACTTCAGGAGGAAACTGATAAATGATTGTGACAATGAAGTCTGAAGTCTGTTTATTTAGTATCTGCCCCCCCACTGGATGGTAAGCGCCCCATAGGCAACCCTGTTCGGTGCTGGTTTCCTGGCTAGCAGAGTGCTTAATTCATACTAGGTTCTGGGAAAATAGGCGCTGACAAAATTGAAAGCATGGAAGATGGAAGGTTTCGTATGTTCTCTTATTTAGCAATGTCTACTGCCCTGGACGGCGGTGGGGCTGGTCCTCAGTCTCCTCCTCTGGCAAATGGGGGGCTGGATTCCATGAGGCATTATCTGTTGTGCTTGGGAGGGGTCACGCCCGCAATCGCAGAAAAAAAGAACCACAAGTGGATAATCCTTCGGTTCTGCTGACTCCAGCATTCTAGCATGATGAGGACTGGCTATCCCCGAGACTGGGCGGGGCCCAGGGGTCCTGGGGAGCCTGGTAGCAAAGCGGAAGGGCCTCCCTCCAGCCCCCTGCCTACCCCTCTCTCTCTTTCCCCCAACACACCACCACCCCCTGGCCCAGAGCAGGAGGGGAGGGGATTATCAACAGGGCCTGGAAACCTTTCCCCCTGGACCTCCAGGAAGCGGGAAGGCCGGAAGGCCGGGGAAGCCTGCAGACCTCAGCAGATCCAGATGCTGGTTGATGAGCTAAAAATACAGCCACTGGTACCCCCACCCCCACGGTCTTAATGTGGTTTTTAAAATAAGTCAGCCTCTTTCTAGTTCTCCCCTTCCACTGTCATTTATTTCAGTTTTTATCTCCACAACAAAAATTCCTTCCAACTTTTCCCCCCCTCTCTCCCTCTAATGCTCTTCACTTTCAAATGCTAATAATCTCCAGCTGTAAAAGGCTTAGAAGTGGCTCTAGATTGTTTGATCTTTGGCCTGTGATCTGCTTTCATCTCTCTGCTTTCAAATGTTACTTTAGATTTACTTTAACCTATTAACATGCTTGGTATTCATACACACGCACTCTCCAAGCCAGCTTCCCAGCACCCCCCCATTATAACTAGACAAGGCAAGTGGGGCTCCCCGCACTTCCAGCCAGAGGAAGGGAGCCAGGGACGCAGGAGGAAGGACGCGTCCCCACCGTGGAGCGCTGGCCTCCGGCTGCTTAGACGCTACCTCGATCTCCTCTCCTGGAGCAGGAGCCGGAACGGGGAGTGGAGAGGCTGAATCAGCGCTTCAGATTCCCGCTCCCACCATTGCGCTGGAATGTCTGGCGTGTTCGTTTCCACAGGAAACGCAAGGCATGAATATGAATGAAACTCCTCACCAAGACCACAAGGGTGCGGCTCAATTATTTGCCATATAAAGTAGCACATGAGGATTCCTTGCACTCGATCATTTCCTCTGTGTGTGTGTGTGTGAGTGAGTGTTGAACACGTGTGCAGGTGGTTCGCGGAGGCACGTGGCTTTCAGACCCTCTGCGTGTCCTGCTGCACCTGAGTGCCTGGAGGTGGTTTGGGAAGAGAGCCCCCCCGTTTCCCCACGTGCCCCCCTCTCCACACACACACACACGGCACCCTGCAGTGAGAGCTGGACTCCACAGCCTCCCAATCAGCCAAAGGGCATAGATCAGAGGAGGGCTTCTACTATGGCTACTCTCAGAAGTTTGGGAATTTCTGGCCACCCTGAGGGCCCCTTTCTTCCGAAGCTGCTTCCTTGTCTGGGGAGAAAGCAGATGAGCTGGTCTCCCTGCGGGAAGGCCTCACCAAGCCGCCGGGAGGGTGGGGGCTCCCTGGGAAGGTGGGAGGGATTGGATGTCTCTGGCTGGGTTGAGAAGCACACGAAATGAGGCCAGAGGCCCCCTGGACTGTCTTCGCAGAGAGGAAAAGCTGCGAAGCCGCTGGGGCCAGAAGAGCGCCAGGAAACCTCACGTGGCATCAGAAAGCCTCGAGTTCAAGCTGGGCCCAGTGACTTGGCACCTTGACCTTAGTTTCTTGATCTATGAAATGGACTAGCAATAGATTACTATCACTTCCCAGGGTCATTGTGAAGGCACGATCATCCTAGTAAGGATTATAGTTATAATTCATCAAACACTCAACCGGTAGCAGGTACTATTCTGTGTATGCTATTAATATTCACTCACTTAATCCTCCATTAATCCTCATTTAATACTCATTTAACCCAAGAGGCGGATACTATTGGTAGCCTCATTTTGCAGATAAGGAAACTGAGACGCAGAGGGTTTAAGCAGTTTGCGCGAGGTCATCCAGTGAGGGCTGTTATGTTCATTTTAGGCTAATTAGGTTACCGGGTCACATGAACTCATCTATTACTTCATTTAATCCCCCAACATCCCTCTGGGTTGGTATTAGTGCATCTTCTTCACACAGAACTGGTACTAGCCTAGATTATTTGCTGCCCAAGCCCACATTTCTTATCCTCATGCTCTGCTGCAAAGACGCTTTTCCACTGCAAAGGGCTTAAAAATGTCAGTTAGTATTATCCACAAATGCTGGAGATTTCTGCCAAAGGGGAAACTCATGTTCAGGGAGCCGGAGCTGTAGGCTGCTGAAGAGCAGGCGGGGTTCCTCGGCCGTCCAGTCTCTCAGGTCTTCTTCAAGGCGAACCAGAACCTTTCTGTTGTAGCCAGACAACTGCTTCTGGTCCTTCTAGAAAGGGAAAGCAGAAGTTGCCCTACTCTGTGACTGCAGAATGGGCACAGGGAGGGTGGGGGCAGGGAACCAGGGCCTCGACTTAGACCGGGACCACCTGGAATGAGCCGGCACTCCAGCTTCCCATGGGAGAGGTGGTGCAGGAGGCAGGACTTTCCAGGGGCTGAGCAGAGAGGTGACCATAACTTGAGTCCACCTGTGGGCACATGATGAAGCTTTTCCGCTTCCCAGCCCACTAAAGCAGAAGGGAAATGGACCCAGCCTGACCGCTGTCTCATGCCAGGCAATGCGTCAAGTGTTTCCACACCTATGAGTATATTCACACTTCACACCTGCCCTGTGAGTCGGTCATCCACTGCATCATCGTTTCACAGATGCTGAGTTTAAGTGACTTGAACATAGTCACACAGAATCTTCTCTTTACACCCCGCTTCCTCCTTAGCTCTCAGCAGATATGAATTGATGACAATAACCCAATACTAAACTGGAAAGCAGCTTCGTGGGCTCTCCTGAGGCCTAGACCCCAACGATCCGCAGTCCCACTGAGGGACCCATTCTGCCAGGCACTGGGCTTCCCTGGGGCTGCGCCTGGGGCCGCTTGTGACCTGGTGGAACCCACAGTTGAAGTATTTCTTCTTTTTCCTCTCTTTAGGAACTGTCTCCTCCCAACTCTCCTGGTCCAGGAGTGAGGCCTGCATGCCAGTTGCCTGTGTGATGAGACAGAACTCAGCTCTTCTGCTTACTGGCTGTGTGTCCCTGGATAAGTGAGGTAGCCTCTCTGAGCCAAAGTTTCTTCTCTGCCTAAATAGTGAAATAGTGGGGTGGTCCTAGTGAACCAGGGCCCCAGGGGTGATGGGGCCCTGGGTGCAGTGCCCTCTGCACAGCCCTTTGGGCTTTCCCTGGGGAGGGGCAGGTGCTCGGAGCCCTTACCTGTGGGGCTGGTGAAGGCTGGTGCTGGAGATGGAGGGGGGAAGGATACTGTACCCTTCATTTTTCTGGCACCAGCAAAGCTCAGACGAATGCCACCCACCCCACAGAACATGCAGTCTCCAACACCAGTGGCTGTTCCCTGGCTTCCTGCAGGGAGCCGTGAGGAATGCTGGAAAACCCAGCTTCTGCCATGCAATCTGCAATCTCCTGTCTGAAGCCCTGCATGGCTCTTCGGGCCGGGGGAGGGAGCCCTTCCAGATTGCCACGGGAGAGGGGAGATGTCAGAGCTGTGCTGGGTGGGGCACTTGTCCTTGCTGCTCCTGTGCCAGCCTCTCTGCGAGCAGGGGATGCTGGGAGGGGCAGCGGGCACTGAGGAAGTGTCGCCCTGCTTTCACACCCACCCACCAGTCCTTGGTTACTGGAAAGAGCAAATGCAAATGGAACCACGGCACAATACCCAGAATACACTGCCGCGCTTCCTAGGGACTCACTCCAAGTTAAAGCCCGGCTCCCCCTGGGGGCTGACATTTTCCCTGGTTCAAACAACATCTGCGCCTCGCCAAGCTTGAGGAAAGGTGAAGGAGCCAGCCACTGCCACTGTAGACTCAAGCGAAACAGCAAAGCTTAGCTTCACAGGGTCCTCCCCCCAGAGGGCATTGGAGCCCACGCATGTCCCCGCGTATGTGCTCCCCGCACCCCTCCTGCCACTCACAGGCCACACGTGTGTATTCCCACATGAGTGCAGACTCACATGCCTACCCTTTCAGACACACACACGTATGCACACTTGTGTCTGCCTGGGAGCAACACACAGACGTCTCTGAACTAGCCGAGAGTGTCCACCCCATCCCCACTAGAGAGGGCAGAGCCAGGAGGGGCCGCTGAGGCTTTGAAATAAATGCATTCTTAGGAGAAGGGCCGATTGCCTTCCCCTCCAGGCTCCAGGCCAAATCTCCAAATGAAATCAGGCCAGGGAGAAATGAACAACTGAGATGCACAAAACAATGTGAAGAAGAAACGAATAATAATATAAAAAAAAAGGTGAGAGTTATTTCTCAGCTCACTGGCTTTCTGAAAAGTAATATAAAGTTGGGCAGCAGCGTCTTCTTGGAATCGACCTTTCTGAGCCAAGACCCAGGCCACATGTACATCTCTTTCCTTTCTGTCTATTACCCGAAATTTGTATGGTTTCATCTCCTCTGATTTTCTTTCATTTGTGCGCCTGTGCAAACCCCCTGTGTTCCTAACCCGGCAGCCCCGCCAGGCTGGACCGGCTTCTCCCTGGCTCCTGCAGGGCTGAGAATTGAGAGGCTCCCTGCAGCTCTCCCCAATCTGGGCCTTGCTGTCCCCAGCTCTGTCCTCTCCCTGTCCAGCCTGGGCTGCAGACTACTCCCCACCCCCCCTGCAACTCTCCACCGACCTGGCATCCCAGCCTCCTTTGTCCCCAAGAGAATTCTCTTTGTCAGGGTCGTTTCAACCAGGGCTGGAAAGGGGGAGGCTGGACAGGCAGAGGGACCCAGGGGTCCTTGAGCCCAGAGCCCAGTCCAGGGCCTGGTGCAGGAGGGCAGAACAGTATCCAGTGAATGCATGAAAGGGCAGATGAATCAACAGATGACTTTCACTTCTTCAGGAAGCAGAGGGAAAAGGTGTCCATTCTAAATGTCTGGGGGAAAGGTTTAGGAAGGAGAGACACAGCATATTCATAACAATACTGACATTCCCTGTAGTTCCAGTCAATTCCCCACTAGAGGTGAGGCTGGAGGCACTCCTAATGTGCCTAATGATGGCCCCTGTCCCTTCCCTCTGTTCTTCTGCCACCTCCCACCCCAGGACACATATTCATGCACAGAGACACACAGGCACCTCAGACGCATCCATACAGACCTACCACACACCGCCCTGAAGCAAACACACAAATGCACACACACCCACACCCACACACACACACATGCAGACGGGTGTACGTGTACTTTCTTCTGCGTGATTACCTTTTAGAGCTGCATCAGTGTCTTTCCCAGTGACCCGTGTCCACTCTCAACTTCTCCTTCCTGCCCTGAGGAGGTGGGGGTCTTGGTGATCTCTATCCTTATCCACTTTTGCAATGAACACATCAAGCGTGGAGTGACAGCACCTGTGGCTTCTTCGCTGCACAGATGAGTGAAGGGTGTCTGACTCACCCCAGAAGGAGTTATAATGGCTTCAGTAGGACCAGTCTGGCACCTGCCCTGGGCCCACCCAGCAGAGATAAAAATTCAGCCTCGCCAAGCTTGAGGAAAGGTGAAGGAGCCAGCCACTGCCACTGTAGACTCAAGCGAAACAGCAAAGCTTAGCTTCACAGGGTCCTCCCCCCAGAGGGCATTGGAGCCCACGCATGTCCCCGCGTATGTGCTCCCCGCACCCCTCCTGCCACTCACAGGCCACACGTATGTATTCCCACATGCGTGCAGACTCACATGCCTACCCTTTCAGACACACACACGTATGCACACTTGTGTCTGCCTGGGAGCAACACACAGACGTCTCTGAACTAGCCGAGAGTGTCCACCCCATCCCCACTAGAGAGGGCAGAGCCAGGAGGGGCCGCTGAGGCTTTGAAATAAATGCATTCTTAGGAGAAGGGCCGATTGCCTTCCCCTCCAGGCTCCAGGCCAAATCTCCAAATGAAATCAGGCCAGGGAGAAATGAACAACTGAGATGCACAAAACAATGTGAAGAAGAAACGAATAATAATATAAAAAAAAAGGTGAGAGTTATTTCTCAGCTCACTGGCTTTCTGAAAAGTAATATAAAGTTGGGCAGCAGCGTCTTCTTGGAATCGACCTTTCTGAGCCAAGACCCAGGCCACATGTACATCTCTTTCCTTTCTGTCTATTACCCGAAATTTGTATGGTTTCATCTCCTCTGATTTTCTTTCATTTGTGCGCCTGTGCAAACCCCCTGTGTTCCTAACCCGGCAGCCCCGCCAGGCTGGACCGGCTTCTCCCTGGCTCCTGCAGGGCTGAGAATTGAGAGGCTCCCTGCAGCTCTCCCCAATCTGGGCCTTGCTGTCCCCAGCTCTGTCCTCTCCCTGTCCAGCCTGGGCTGCAGACTACTCCCCACCCCCCCTGCAACTCTCCACCGACCTGGCATCCCAGCCTCCTTTGTCCCCAAGAGAATTCTCTTTGTCAGGGTCGTTTCAACCAGGGCTGGAAAGGGGGAGGCTGGACAGGCAGAGGGACCCAGGGGTCCTTGAGCCCAGAGCCCAGTCCAGGGCCTGGTGCAGGAGTTCAGAACAGTATCCAGTGAATGCATGAAAGGGCAGATGAATCAACAGATGACTTTCACTTCTTCAGGAAGCAGAGGGAAAAGGTGTCCATTCTAAATGTCTGGGGGAAAGGTTTAGGAAGGAGAGACACAGCATATTCATAACAATACTGACATTCCCTGTAGTTCCAGTCAATTCCCCACTAGAGGTGAGGCTGGAGGCACTCCTAATGTGCCTAATGATGGCCCCTGTCCCTTCCCTCTGTTCTTCTGCCACCTCCCACCCCAGGACACATATTCATGCACAGAGACACACAGGCACCTCAGACGCATCCATACAGACCTACCACACACCGCCCTGAAGCAAACACACAAATGCACACACACCCACACCCACACACACACACATGCAGACGGGTGTACGTGTACTTTCTTCTGCGTGATTACCTTTTAGAGCTGCATCAGTGTCTTTCCCAGTGACCCGTGTCCACTCTCAACTTCTCCTTCCTGCCCTGAGGAGGTGGGGGTCTTGGTGATCTCTATCCTTATCCACTTTTGCAATGAACACATCAAGCGTGGAGTGACAGCACCTGTGGCTTCTTCGCTGCACAGATGAGTGAAGGGTGTCTGACTCACCCCAGAAGGAGTTATAATGGCTTCAGTAGGACCAGTCTGGCACCTGCCCTGGGCCCACCCAGCAGAGATAAAAATTCTCTGTATGGATGTGTTTTGGGTGGGAAATGAGGGCATGGGGATGTAGATAAGATAATTAAATCTCTTCTCTCAGAGAGACTGCAAGGTCTAGTCTAGAGCTAGGTAATTCTGATGGTCACCCCCTGATGTAGTCCTCAGCCCTCACTCACGTTCTGTGGTTAGAGTGCAGGATGGGCTGTGTGAGGGGCCCCTGACATGACAGGGCATGAGGGGTGGGAAGCTGGGCGCCAAAACACCAGCAACTGGCATTGGTTAATCCTTGGTTTCATTGGAAAAGTGCTTCCCCCTCCATTTGACATTTCTGTCGTTACAGCCACCTTGTAATCTAAGCAGGACATGTATTAGCAGGCTTATCTTAGATGAGGAATCCAGGGTTTGGGTAAGGTAACCAGCCCGACAGGTGGATTAGTCTGGCTGGCCTAACTGCTGTAGTAAACAGCCCCAAATCGCAGTGGGTCAGCTCTATAAACGGTTCTCAGCCATGCCGTTCCATGAGAGTTGGCCAGAGGCCCTGCATGATTCAGTATTTCTGGGACCCGGGCTCTTTCTGTCTCTGGCTCTGCTGCCCTTGAGGTGCTCAGTCTCTTGATTTGGCAGGTGGGTGGAGAAAGCAAGTGAGCGTCCTATGTGTTATGCTTTTTACAGGCCAGGGCTGGAGGTGGTAGCATCTCCTCTGTTCACACTCCAGAGATTGGAGCGTAGTCACATGGCTACACCCAACAACTGGGAAGCTGGGAAATGTAGTCCTGCTGCAGGCCCAGGAAGGAAAGGAAAGTGCAGGTATCTGTGAGCCCTGCGGGTCTCCACCAGGCCCAGAATCACTGCGAGTAATGGGGGAATCCGTTCTTAGACCCAGATCTTCTGATTCTGAGCTTTCCTATC